GATGATTTTTTTAATAATTCTTTAAACAGCAGACAACTATTAGCTGTTAATAATAAATGTAAATCAATATCAGAAATACTGTCAGTTCTTACCATTGCTTGTGAAGTGATTGATTCTAAGGTGACCGATAAGGCCCATGGGCCTCTTGTTTCTAATCTTAAATTAATTTTTCAATGTATTTTTATGCACAATATGCGTACCTCAAGTGATTTTGCTTATTATTTTAGATTTATGATCTTTACATTTATTTACTTCTTTTTTTTGTTTGATATTTATGTATTTTATACATCCGTCAAATGACAGGACATATTATGGTATTCTCGTCTTCCATCCGTCCATCTTCCGTCCGTATGTCCCTCTGTTCGTAAACATTTCAATGTCCCAGCGATTTTGGAATTTATTAAGCCTTAACAGATTTCTTTTAACTTTCATTGCAAGCTTAAGTACAATCAAAGCTAGATTGAGTTTGATTTCCATGATTTTTGATCCACAACTTTTAGAGTTACGGCCCATTAATGTCTGTAACCTTTTCAATGTCGGTGCAATAACTTTGCAAAGTATTACGCAATTACCATTGAAACAAATGCAATATATTATATACAGCATAAATAGTGTAGGTGATAGTCAGACAAAATCACAGGCGTATTTCGTGACCTGAAACAGGCTCTTGTTTTTTTTTTTTTTTTTTCGTGTGACAAATTAAAATGATTGTTCAATATATGAATATTGTCAGCATTCCATTATACCTTCATAGATCCCTATTAGGATAAACTGACGGGACAGAGCTTGTTTGTTACACTATCAGAATAATGTAAATCACTCATACTGGTGGAGGAATTACAGTGATTCTAGCATTAAGTTGTATGGTTGCCAATTTATTTGCAGATATGTCAATACCATTATTACTATTGCAGCCATGGTCTTTTGATGGCGTCGTTAACTTCACCTTGTCAGAATATCCTAATGGGGCAATATTTTGTACATCATGTGAGAAAAAAAAAGCATATTTACAAAATTAATAACCAGAAGTAGCAAAATCACAGGGACTTTTCGAAATTATTTTTATTATCTTAATTATCTAGACAAGCCATTGTGGCTACATATAAATATGCAAGTGTTTCTGACTTCGTTTTAAATAAAAAAATAGTTGTGGAGTGATGGCTTTTGATAATGGATATATGTATATCTAGTTTTGATATATGCTTTATTTGACAAGGAATGTCAATTTATTGTTGTTAATAAAGTTACTGTTTCAATTTTGTTGTCATTGGTCCGTTTTTCCTTGGCCCGGAACTATTTCTGAAGGCGTCTATTTGCATCAACACTGCATCGTCATGCCGGTAATTACGGGCTTAAAATAGATTTTCTGTTGACCAATTTCATTTGACAAATGGGATTAAATCCCTAATGCGTCATATCGAGCGTAATAGCTTATTGGATAAATATTTATAGCAACCTATATGGAACTTGGGGAAACCCGTTCGTCCGCCATGGTGTTTCACGTTGTAATAGCAGCAAGCTGCAAGATGAACTCGAGTAATTTTACGGATGTTTCCTTTGATTGCTTTTCATTATAACTACTGGAGCATGCATAAAACATCCTTGTGTCGTTGTCGCGAAATGTAATAGATGTAGCAACAACCATTTGTACCTTAACTTTAATAAAAACATGCCAAATGTCGTATCTTTCTAATGGGAAGCCTGTTACGACGGAGATGTGAAGGGGACGTAACTCTTGGCGAACGACTACTATGTTCTGATATGTTGAATCTTATCAATGAAACTGTTAACGAATTATGTGAAATTTTCGTCGATGCTGCCAAACATACTTTCGGTACTATTCATCTCACACACAAACGACAAAATTTTCATAAGCCATGGTTCACTAAAGAATGTGAATCTGCTAGACAGAATTATAGAAAATCCAAAAGACTATATAAAAGGTATGGTAGTACAGTTTTCAAAGAAGACTTACACGAAAAAGACCGAGGATATCGTAAAACACCGAAATCCGCTGTGAATACACACAGAAATCAAATGATAACTAAATTAAATAACTTCAGATCTAGGAACCCAACAGAGTATTGGAAAATATTGAACCATGGTTGTTCTAATGATAAAGTATGTAAGTTCATTTTTTAGCAAATATTTTAATGATGATGTTGAATGTGACGATAACATTGTACTTTCTATATCTGAACTCAAAGAGTTATCGAACCTGGATTACAATGATTTTCTTAACGCATCTATATCGTCAGCTGAAATTTTGAAATGTGTCAACTGGTTGAAACCTAATAAGGCTGTAGGCGAAGACCTAGTTCGTACTGAATATGTATCAAATCAACAGTACACATTTTTATTCCTATATATGTAAACGTTTTTAATTATATATTTGATACTGGTAATGTACCAGATTCATGGCTGGCGGGTAACATAATTCTTATGTATAAAAATAAGTGTGACAAGTACAAGTCTATAAATTATAGGCCAATCACACTTATTAGTTGTTTATGTAAATTATTCACTGCTATAATTAATGAACGTCTTAATAAATATGCTGACAGTATCCAACTTATCCTTGAAAATCAAGCTGGATTTCAAAGACAACATTCTGTCATTGATCATATATTTTCACTATGTGCTTTAATTGAACTCTCATAAAAAATAATTTAAAAAATCGTATGTACTGTGCTTTTGTAGACTTCGAAAAGGCGTTCGACAGTGTCTGGAGAACAGGTCTATGGAACAAATTAATTACTAGTGATATAGGTGGAAAATGTTTTGACGTAATAACTAGTATGTATAATCGTACTAAAGCTAAAGTAATTAAAGGTAATTATGTGTGTAATATTTTTAATTGTAATTCTGGAGAAGGACAAGGGGGAAATTCATCGTCATTCCTATTTTCTATCTTTCTGAATGATTTAGAAGACTTTTTGATAACGCATAATTGTAACGGTTTACCAAATTTGGCAGAGAATTTGGAGAGACAACTACAAGTTTATATTCAGCTGTTTGTATATTACTATACGCTGATGACAATATTTTATTAGCAGACACTGTCGAAGATTTACAAAAACATCTTGATATATTTTATAAGTATACACAGCAATGGAACATTAAGGTTAATATTGAAAAGACAAAAGTAATGGTTTTGGGTAGAGGGAGAGTGTCGAATGATGTAAAGTTCACCTATAATGGGAATCTTATAGAGATAGTGAAAAATTTCAAATATCTAGGACTTTATTTCACACGTAATTTAATATTAAACAATTATATGAAAAGAGTCGAAGAGCCTTATATGGTGCTATTGCTAAATGAAGAATCAAAATCTTTCCCTTGACTGTAAATTAGATACGTTTGATAAAGCTATAAAACCCATCATTTTATACGGTTGTGAAGTTTGGGGATTTTGTGACTATACACTTTTAGTACGGTTAATTGAAAATTTTGTAAACATCTTCTCAAATTGAAAATATCGACCCCCAACTTCATGGTTTACGGCGAACTCGGAAGATTTCCATTGAGTATTACTATCAAAGTACGTATGGTCGGATTTTGGGCCAAATTGATAGAATCTTCACATAAAAAGTTGAGTAATAAACTGTATCAGATAAGTAGTAATTATAATACAGTGGTCTAATTGTATCAAATATATCTTTGAAGAATGTGATTTACATCATATTTTCGAATCCCAACAAGTTATCAATATACCTTGCCTGAAAAAAATTTCTTCCATACCCCAGCCCTTGCTCAATTAAAATGTTAGCGAAAGAATGAATGCTGATTTCATGTGTTGGGTCACAAGGTTTAGCGACTTGTCGACTGTCACGAGACTGACTACGTCTGATTGAGAAGATAACGCGAACAGGCAAAGTTAAATAGATAGAGGGTTTGATAACAGTGTACCCGCGCTGCGTCCTTATATGAAATACTTGGCTTAACAAGTCAAATAAGTCTACTATAGACTAAAATATACAGTGCCGTTTATCAACGCATGCCCTTCTTTACCCAAACCCATTGTCATCCAAGTCGTTTTCTCCTAAATAATTACTTCTGTACGAATAAGAGGACAACTTTAAGAAGCCAATGAGGGGTACTGTTATGTAGATTTCATATGATTTAAAGTGTTGCAAGGACACCAATTTTTAAAAACAAACAAACTTGAAAGTAAGTAACCCATCCGTATACTGTCACACGACATGTTACTGTCAAGGCCCTCTAGTAGAAATCAATGTGTCTCAAGTTGCACAGGTTCATGGTTCGAATATTTGTGCATGCATTTTGTTAACCAATAGATAGCTGTTAAAGTGTATGTAACGTATATTGAACTACGATGCTCTGTATATATTACTATCGGTGTTTATTTTGTCAGGCCTAAACGTTATCTCTATGATATAGCTGTTATCGTATACATACCGTCTACAATAATACACAGGAGAGTGAGTTTTGTTTTATAAGTTTTTATAGTGTTATCCCTGTAGTATGTTTTTACTTGCTGCCATTGAACGAGATACAGTGCGAAACTAAAATTCGTCACGCCACGGACACTACTTTGAAGTTACGATGTTGTCTACAGTTGGAGGCCTTCTGGCCCTAGTGATGATTCTCACGCACACATCAGATGTCCATGCTCAGTGCACTATGATAGACACCTGTTCTTGTTTCATGCCAGATGGAAATGTGGTGGATATAACCTCATTAGGAGACAATAATGGCTTTGCCAAGTAAGGAAGGACTTTTTGGAATTTTTTGCAGCTTACGGTGAAGTGGGGAGGAGGAGGGGTCGGGCAGGGAATGGGTGGGGATGTAGTCTGTCAGTGTTATACCCTATAAGATTCAATCTTTCTAGTCCTCCGTAAAAAGCAAGTTCAATCATTTCGATGATTCGAAGAAAGCTAAGCATTCTAAAGCACGTGGTGGGGGTATCCATGGTGAATCTTTTCCGTATTTCTTTCTCTTTACTGTAAATATTGTCTCTTTGTATGCTTGTTGTGGTAAACATAGTGGAACTTACATGAATTTCCTTTCATATTTATAAAACGAGTTTCATAAATCCCCTAAGAATGGGAAAGAATGTAAGATTCTGTTTATCATATACATTAGCTGAGATATTTTTGCTATTCATTCACTGAAAGAATTGATGGCGTGGGTTTAACTACAATATTAACATGGCATACGTCTTTTTCAAAATTTAAACAACAATGTAGTCACTGAAACTACTAAGGGAGACAACTCTAACAAATATAAATACATATAAAGCACATTTCTTATAGGTTTTTCGCCATCCCCGCTCCTGATAACTTTTATTATTCGCTGAATCTGTGCTATCCGTTCAACGAAGGATCGTGTGCTGGAGCCGCTGTGAGTATGTTTTCAATGAAGATGTAAAATATCTTATTTTTATTCAACTCATGAAATACTCAATTTGCATTGCTTCTTGAATAAATTTAGCCTTGACTTTCGCCGACTAACTACCTTGATACTAACCGGATGCGCACGTGTATTGCAGGGATGTCAAACATCACCAGACTTCACCAGCACGTACCAAATAGGGGACTCCAGCACAGCCATGTTCAGCACAGACGCATCCAACAACGTTCACGTCATATACACGTCACCTGCTGATGATGGCAGATTCAGGTGATTTTAAATGACGATTGTGTTGAACTCTTCCCCTGAAAAAGTTTATTTTTTTAGAAAAAAAGTTAAAAGCGCCGGAATATGTAGCGTAATCCTTGACGTCATATCATCATGGCGTCAAGCTTGACAATAACACTAATAATCACAGTACCTACTATTAAACGGTTTTCTGTTATCTGCTAGGTATATAGGTGTTTGTGTTTAAATAAATATCCTTGCTCACATAGTTCAGTCATTGTGAAACAACACTATTTTAACATTCACTACATCTGCATTTTCACTGAAGTATCGAATGATTATAATGTAGCGGTTAATTTGAATGTTAAAGCAATTATCAATGTTGTTTTTATCTATAATTTACGGTACAATGTCTGTATACAAACCAGATAATTTCTGTTGCGGAATACAGTAAAACTCACCTGTGTCGAACACGTATAAATCGGATACATCGGATAAGTCGAAGGTTTTGTTCGGTCCCGATTTTCGCTCTTCTTTATATTAGTACATTCAACACGGATGCTTCGAACACTGTTGTGTCGAATACTGCGTTTGTGTTGAATATATTTTGTAGTCCATCCCTTCTACGTTTTACCAAAATTTCGTTTTTAGTGTCGAACATTCAGGCGTCATCTTGTCTCAGGTAAAAATGTCCTGGCTTGAGTTCGAATGACATATTGTGAGTGACCAGCCGTAGCTGTGTCACTATACATTGAAATGATTTGAAAAACAATTTTCATCGGTAAAGCAAAACATGCAGGTTGTAACAGCGATTCTCGTTTTGATTAAACTTTACGAGTGTGTATGGTAAGTCAGAAGATGAACACAGTGCTGAATGCGACCTAGATGGTGTAACAAAAACGTTTCTTTCTTTCAAGTAAACATAGGGAGTTCTTTTCTCGTAAAAAGGAGTTGCGTTCTTTTTTCAAACATTTTATTGACCAAGACAAACATAAAATTACAAATGTGTTCTCACACATGAGGGCTCTTATACTTACACACGAGACACCTTCCTTCTTTTTTCACATAGATGCACAAAAATAGGTAGGGTCTAAACTCGGTGTAAAATGGGTACCCTCGGGAGCTAAGGTCAGAGGGCATGATCAAACTGTGTCATCCCTGCTAATATGTATTGCATTTTCACGTACTAGCGACTTCTCAATTTCCATTGTCTTACAAATTTTACAAATATCGAAGTTTGGTTAATAGTAAATGTTGTGTTTTAACAATAAAATGAAGTGATTTAAACGAGGCCCAAACAAGTTCCTTTCTCGTAATAAGGTATTACTTTCCCGTGCTGTGTTTCTCGTAGAAACGATTTCCTTTCTCGTGATTACAAGTTCCTTTCTCGTGATAACGATTTCCTGTCTCGTGATATCGTGTTCGTGTCTCGTAGTAACAAGTTCCTGTCTCGTAGTAACGAGTTCCTGTCTCGTGGTAACGAGTTCCTTTCTCTATGTGCTAATTCATTACATTGTGAAGTTAAGACGAGTTGGCTTGATTTGATTACCCTGTCTCGTGATTTCGAGTTCCTGTCTCGTGGTAACGAGTTCCTTTCTCTATGTGCTAATTCATTACATTGTGAAGTTAAGACGAGTTGGCTTGAGATGTTTGATTACGAGTTCCTGTCTCGTAGTAACGAGTTCCTGTCTCGTGATTTCGAGTTCCTGTCTCGTGGTAACGAGTTCCTTTCTCTATGTGCTAATTTATTACATTGTGAAGTTAAGACGAGTTGGCTTGAGAAGTTTGATTACGAGTTCCTGTCTCGTGATTTCGAGTTCCTGTCTCGTGGTAACGAGTTCCTTTCTCTATGTGCTAATTTATTACATTGTGAAGTTAAGACGAGTTGGCTTGAGAAGTTTGATTACGAGTTCCTGTCTCGTGATTTCGAGTTCCTGTCTCGTGGTAACGAGTTCCCTTCTCTATGTGCTAATTTATTACATTGTGAAGTTAAGACGAGTTGGCTTGAGAAGTTTGATTACGAGTTCCTGTCCCGTAGTAACGAGTTCCTGTCTCGTGGTAACGAGTTCCTTTCTCTATGTGCTAATTTATTACATTGTGAAGTTAAGACGAGTTGGCTTGAGAAGTTTGATTACGAGTTCCTGTCCCGTAGTAACGAGTTCCTGTCTCGTAGTAACGAGTTCCTGTCTCGTGGTAACGAGTTACGAGTTCCTTTCTCGTAGAAACGATTTCCTGTCTCGTGATATCGGGTTCCTGTCTCGTGATATCGAGTTCCTGTCTCGTAGTAACGAGTTCCTGTCTCGTAATATCGAGTTCCTGTCTCGTAGTTACGAGCTCCTGTCATGTAGAAACGAGGTTCTGTCTCATGATTACGAGTTCCTGTCTCGTGGTAACGAGTTCCTGTCTCGTAGAAACGATTTCCTGTCTCGTGGTAACGAGTTCCTGTCTCGTAATATCGAGTTCCTGTCTCGTAGTAACGAGTTCCTGTCTCGTGATTTCGAGTTCCTGTCTCGTGGTAACGAGTTCCTTTCTCTATGTGCTAATTTATTACATTGTGAAGATAAGACGAGTTGGCTTGAGAAGTTTAAAGCTTATGCTGAATCCGTTTTTGTCTGATTGGCTAGTAAAATATGGTTTAGGCGAGAGTCAAGCAGTCATTAGAAGGTAGATGTTTGGAGATAGCATATTATAATTAATAAAGAAGTATTAAATACAAAAGAATGGTTATGTCGTCTTTATACAATAAGTTTGTATATTTATGTAATATTTTACGTTTTGTTTCAGAACGGTCGACGTCACTTTGCTGTGTGATGCTAATGCAATAGACCCCACAATACAGGTGTTGGGGGAACAGGGTTTCAACTCTCTTCTCTATGTAAGTAAATTTGTCTACATACACAATGTGTTTTATACCTTCTCAGGGAAACTTGTTTATCATAATAGGTACACATTGTGTATTACCATGAACATCTACATCGTATAGGCTTCCATTGTGTGTCACATACGATTCTAATACTAACGATATATTTTGGTCTGAAAATGACAATTTTATTCAGAACAAGCATAAGTTTGCTTTTAAAACTTATATTTTGAAAATGCTAGACGCTAGAAATTAGACTGCGTAACTAAATAAAAGCAAGACAGTTCTAAAAATGTTTTCAATATAGACTGAAAATAGGGTTGATATTTTTTTGAGACAAAGAAATTATTTAGGTAGTGAAACGCAGAGAGAGGCGTGTTAATTGTGACGTATAATAAATAACGAATCTTGTGACGTCATGATAGTTTTGTTCGTGATTTCGAGTTCTCTCGCAGTTTCTTTACACACACAATATTCTTACTTTCATAATGAATGACATTTATAATTCATATTTTAAAGCGCTTTCTGAACCTTTCTGACAAATATTACAACATTCACCCTCCTCCTTGAAATTAAAATTAATTTTTGGAAATATTTTATTTATTTTTATCAGTATTCTGTTGGCTGTTGACATTTTGATGAACCGTTCACAGGGACTATATTTCTCAAGTGATGTGCGTTTCCATTTTCAGGCGTTCACTATAACCTCACACTGCGCCTGTCCTGGAGCATGCTCTCTCAATCCAAACCCGATAGACCCCGGTAAGGCGACGATAACTGTAGAAGCCGGGATAAGTGCGGGAACCGTTTTATGTATAATGTAGGTATCGGCGATATTCTGTTGTCTTTCCTCTTGTATTTGTGATAATTTTTTTATGATTTACGAACTTTTTCATTATTTATTTGGTCTAGCGGGAAGTTTAAGGATCACATGTCCCAATATTGAGGAAACATTGTAACTGTAAATGTTCTCGGCATAAATCTAGTTTTATCTACTACAATTTCTTCATTTATATATAGATTTTTTTTTTTCAAAATGCAAACCATTCTTAACATCATGAGTCCCAGTTTTCAGTCTGGTAGCTAGAGCCTTATGCACCCCTGAAACATTTCATGGCAAATAGAAATTGGTTGTCGCTCCTTTGTAGTCTTCAAAGGAACGAGTTCCTGTCTCGTAGTAACGGTCTGTCTTTACTTCTGAAACTCGATCTAGTCCAATCAAATTACTGTCCGCATGTGCCTTCAATTTTGCCATGAAATGCTGTGATTTCGAGTGAGTGCGAAGTTCGTTTGTCTATGTGCTAATTTATATTTTTGTTGTTTTGATTTTGATAAAACCACCTAAAAGACCTGTCTCTTAAATGCAGTTGAACAGTTGAAGTTACATTGATTAACGAGTTCCTTTCTCTAGTGACATTACATGTGAAGTACATCATTTGGTTCACTTTCTTTTGTGTAAGTTTAGTGCTTTTTAATTTATTACATTGTGAAGATAAGACGAGTTGGCTTGAGAAGTTTAAAGCTTATGCTGAATCCGTTTTTGTCTGATTGGCTAGTAAAATATGGTTTAGGCGAGAGTCAAGCAGTCATTAGAAGGTAGATGTTTGGAGATAGCATATTATAATTAATAAAGAAGTATTAAATACAAAAGATTGGTTATGTCGTCTTTGTACAATAAGTTTGTATATTTATGTAATATTTTACGTTTTGTTTCAGAACGGTCGACGTCACGTTGCTGTGTGATGCTAATGCAATAGACCCCACAATACAGGTGTTGGGGGAACAGGGTTTCAACTCTCTTCTATATGTAAGTAAATTTGTCTACATACACAATGTGTTTTATACCTTCTCAGGGAAACTTGTTTATCATAATAGGTACACATTGTGTATTACCATGAACATCTACATCGTATAGGCTTCCATTGTGTGTCACATACGATTCTAATACTAACGATATATTTTGGTCTGAAAATGACAATTTTATTCAGAACAAGCATAAGTTTGCTTTTAAAACTTATATTTTTAAAATGCTAGACGCTAGAAATTAGACTGCGTAACTAAATAAAAGCAAGACAGTTCTAAAAATGTTTTCAATATAGACTGAAAATAGGGTTGATATTTTTTTGAGACAAAGAAATTATTTAGGTAGTGAAACGCAGAGAGAGGCGTGTTGATTGTGACGTATAATAAATAACGAATCTTGTGACGTCACGATAGTTTTGTTCGAGAGTTCTCTCGCAGTTTCTTTACACACACAATATTCTTACTTTCATAATGAATGACATTTATAATTCATATTTTAAAGCGCTTTCTGAACCTTTCTGACAAATATTACAACATTCACCCTCCTCCTTGAAATTAAAATTAATTTTTGGAAATATTTTATTTATTTTTATCAGTATTCTGTTGGCTGTTGACATTTTGATGAACCGTTCACAGGAACTATATTTCTCAAGTGATGTGCGTTTCCATTTTCAGGCGTTCACTATAACCTCACACTGCGCCTGTCCTGGAGCATGCTCTCTCAATCCAAACCCGATAGACCCCGGTAAGGCGACGATAACTGTAGAAGCCGGGATAAGTGCGGGAACCGTTTTATGTATAATGTAGGTATCGGCGATATTCTGTTGTCTTTCCTCTTGTATTTGTGATAATTTTTTTATGATTTACGAACTTTTTCATTATTTCTTTGGTCTAGCGGGAAGTTTAAGGATCACATGTCCCAATATTGAGGAAACATTGTAACTGTAAATGTTCTCGGCATAAATCTAGTTTTATCTACTACAATTTCTTCATTTATATATAGATTTTTTTTTCAAAATGCAAACCATTCTTAACATCATGAGTCCCAGTTTTCAGTCTGGTAGCTAGAGCCTTATGCACCCCTGAAACATTTCATGGCAAACAGAAATTGGTTGTCGCTCCTTTGTAGTCTTCAAAGAAACGTTTCAGTCTTTGATTGGTCTGTCTTTACTTCTGAAACTCGATCTAGACCAATCAAATTACTCCGCATGTGCCTTCAATTTTGCCATGAAATGCTGCATGAGTGCAGAAGTGTCGAGTTTGGGGATTTTGATATTTTTGTTGTTTTATCCTTTGATAAAACCACCTAAAAGACACTTTACTCTTAAATACATTTGAACAATTGAAGTTACATTGATTACGAGAGCAAGAGACATACATGAATGTACATCATTTGGTTCACTTATCATTTTGTGTAAGTTTAGCGGTTTCATTTTTAACTTTATTTTTGAGAACACTACATTACATGTACATTGTACTTACTGACATTCACCAAAATTTACATGGCGAGTGGCATCGATGAAGCAGAGGATGCTTACTCTTCCGGAACACCTGGCCTTGTTCTCCTTATTCTTTCTTCCGTGTAAATACTTTAGTTGTTGATGTATGCCCCTCGTTAAAACGATTTGATTTTGAAGTAAGATTGTGTTGACATTTTCTTCTTTTTTTTTATAGAGCAATTGTTGGAATTATTGTTTATGTTGGAGGAGGGATGACTTATATGAAGGTTAAAAAACAGGCAACTGGGACAGGGATGATTCCAAACAAGGACTTCTGGACAGCGATTCCTGGACTTATAAAGGTGGGAATGATACCTGCGATATATATATCGGACCAGGGAAAAGATTAACACTAAACTCTTAGTAGTTGGTCATCACTGATCCTTGACATTTTGTCTTGTTGGAATGAACGTCTAAAACAATTTCAGAATGGATTTATCTACTAGAGTGTGATTGCTTATTGTCAAAGTTGTGTATGCATTTTCAAAAGAAGAGAGAAAAAAAACCCTATATTTAAGATTATGTTTGAAATCAGTGTAAAATGACATAATGTAAAGAAAACATATTAGTAAAAAGTAAAATAAAATGATATGCGTTCCGCTGAGCGTCGAATCCCTTAAAAGGTTAATGCGAGCATGTCTCATCTAACATAGTAAATTGTCTCTCTGATATTCTGAGAATTTTCATTTTTTTTCCATTTTTTTTTCTTTGATAGGAAGGAGCAGTTTTTACTTATCAGAAGATCCGAGGGAAAATTTCCGGAAAACAATATTCTGCAATATAAACTTTACAGATTGTGTGCACCGCGTTTTTCTTATTAGACTGAGCCAGTGCCGGACAAGAACTTTCCTGTTCTTTAACATCAACCGTTCATATAAAAAGGGCATCGATTGGACGTAGTAAATCATGACGTCAGTCAACATAGATTGGATGTTTACACTGTTTATTTCCACAGTAAAGATGCGCATTGCCAGCGATGTAAATCTGAGGATGTTTTTATGATCTTATTCTAATTCTAAAAATATGTTTTGAAAAAAAAACTTGATTCAAATTACAGCAACGAGAAAGAGACAAGCAGATGATATTACACTTGTTGGCCTGCCCAGATATGCAATGAAAATCTACAGATTCGAAATCACTACAAAATTTATCAGATCCTACATTACTACAATGCATATCAGGTCCTCAATTGCTACAATACTTATCCGATCCTAAATAACTACAATACGTATCAGATCCTAAATTACTACAATACGTATCAGATCCTAAATTACTACAATACGTATCAGATCCTAAATTACTACAATACGTATCAGATCCTAAATTACTACAATACGTATCAGATCCTAAATAACTACAATACGTATCAGATCCTAGATAAGTATGAAATACAGATATCATATCTTAAATTTCTATTAGATGTTTGTACGCATATCAGATTCTACATAATGATATCAGCTATTGGTTACTGCAATGTTACGCTTAACTGGTGGTTATGTTATTGTCATTCATTTGGCATTTAATGGATTTCAGCAAACTGACATTTCAGTTTCATTTTTGTCCATTTTAGTAACGGAAACAGAAAATAATTATTGAATCAAGTAGAATTATGAAACCTTGAAACCTTGAGTTTAGGGGAAAAGATTTGAGAGATACGTGAAAAAAACGAAAAGTGAAAAAAGAAGCGTGTCGGTGTGACATGAAGATTGTGTTAGTGTCAAATAAGGTCTCTATCTTGACCGATTATGCTATTTGGTCCCAGTTTGTAGAGCCATGATATCCCCTCAGATCGCTTTTCCACGCTTGAGATAAAAGAAAGCGAGGGAAACAGTAGTACAGTACTTGGCGCTGTCCATGAAAGCGATCATTGTTGATGACGTCATCATTTATGATGAAAACGTTACACTCATATTTACACACATTTTCCACATTTCCACAGGTCTCACAGGTAAGTTTTCATTTAATTCATAAAAAAATCATTGTTGATATGTTCGTATCAATAGGAATGACGTGTGATATACAGAATGACTCTAGGTGACGTGAATTACCATACTGCATATAAAATGATGGCTTCGTCCCATTTCTCCATGATATCTACCAAAGAGCGACTGTTTCAAACTTTTCTTTCAGCAAAGATTTCAGACATTTTCTTCAGTGCAATGCGTGTGAGGGAATGGGAAATCTGCCATGAAAATTTGCTACCTACTTTTGGTATTGTTTGTTGGGTTCGATTGGGGACTTGATGACAGAACTGATCAGGTTCCATGTTTTCCTACGTGCACCTTATCAGATGAAGGTCGGCGTCTGTGCGAGTCACTGCAGATATCGGGACCATGCGGCAATCGAAACCAAAGAAAGTGAGCATTGTTTTTTTTTCAATTTTCGTGGGTCAGCCATTGAATCGACTAATGTTTTTTGTCTCCGCATGGTGTTGTTTTGGTAGCAGTAAGGACGTACGTAATATTTTGCACAAACCTTCAACGGTTTTGATAAGGCTGTTCAATATTTGTTTACCTGACATTGACGTTTAACTGAATCGTGCCAGATGGCACATTTCAAAATAATTGCTCCGTGTGGGAATATAGCTCCCAACTTCAATGATTATATACAGAACGAATTTCCGAATTTTTCGAAAATAAAGTTTGTTACGACAAACAAGAAAGCTTATTAAAAAGTACTATATATCTATGAATGAAATGAGTAAGCAAACGTAATTCTATTGAACAAATACAACATATGGAATCAGCGCTTATTTCAAGAGTAATTTAATTGTATGTAGTCTGGTTCAAACATTTTTATGGAGCTTTTATAGAAATGAATACATATTTGATATATAATTTGATCTGGATCCCAGTTGAGCATCGAGCTCGTTTGAGCCATTATATATCTCTTGATAATCAAGGAATTAAATATTCTTCGGGAATATAGATATGTCTTGTTGTAGGAGAGAGGACAGATCTGCCACATGCAGCTGTGAGTGGTTGGCAATGCTGAGTCACCCTGAATATAACTACGTCCCGGATAAGTTCGGGTGTCTGCAGTATTCTCTCCATACCTGTGGTAAATTATATATTTTTCTGTCGTTAAACGTATCACAAACTATAGATTATAAGCAGTATTATCTGATAAGTTATCAAAAGTTTATTTACCTGTGCAGTTTACCTGTACACCTTTTGTGCAAATTGTCATCACAACTGATCACTTATATAAATGTGTGTTTTGGGTAGATTTGGTGATGAAGGAAGCAATCCTTTATATATCGTACATAATGAATCGCCCATACTTAAAGGTGGTCGCGTGATGCAACGTATAACCTTTTCCTTTTTTGAGCGGTTATGAAAATGTATAGGGGCCCCGTGTACGCCTAAATGTGTTATCCAATCCCATCCCATCCCTCCTTCCCTTTGATAAGTCCGGTATGCACACAGTCGTTCTACTGTCATGCCATCAACAGTCTTTTTGTAAGTTGACACGTAACTAGCTTTACAACTGTTATTTTTATTGAATTATGTTCTCAGAAATACTAAATCAAAACGATTAACACCACTCATCCTCTAACCCCGTGGTCAATTATCAAAATAACTCCACCCCTTTAATCTCAAATCCAATTTATAAAGAAAAAAGAAAGAAGAAAAAATGAATATGATCTTTGATGATGACTTTCTTGACATTGTGTCAGAACTGTTTAATATTTCATAATGTATTCTTAAAACTTTGCGAAAACGTTTACTCTTAAAGATTCAAGGACACGCTTGTCACGTGACGTGTCCCGGAGTGAATACACTGTGAGTGATTTCTTGAGGGAAATACAAAATGAAAATGCCCGGATTGAAAAACTAACGGATGAGTCGGAGAAGCGACATGCAAAACTCAAGTTATCAAATACAGTACGAGACATCGTATACCTAATCAGGCAAATTGATGCCAACAACAAAGGTTTGTCCTTTAATTCCAGTAATTTTCTATCTGAACATGTTTTCTAGATACTATTGTAAAGTGGGTGCTAATCGTGATTCAAGAAAACTTGAGCGTCCTCACACAAAGTCAATCATAATACAAAGTTTAATGTTCAGGATACCCTACCTCCTCGATACTCCAGGATTTACACTCACTATCGCTCTCTACACCCTGGAACACGTCATGGCAAAATTGAAGGTTCCAGGTGCGACACCTCCTGGACAAGACAAAAAGATTAGTTCGATACTTTGATGTACATCAAACGGATCTCGCGGTCGCATAACGTATGATATATATGATATATATAACATACCTGATTAATGTAATGGCTTTGAAGTTGGATGCCGCTCCGTGGTAATCTTCAAAAGGAGCGTATCAGCATATCATTGGTCAGCTTTTTTGCTCCTGAACCAATCAAATTACGTCACTTGTGCCTTCAATTTTGCCGCCACGAGGAATGATACCTTACTACCCTCGGCTAATGGGAATTTTCCTTCAGACAAGCGGCAGAGTATCTCCCTAAGGTCACTAGTACCCCCTTAACCTTAACCTTCTTGGCGCCGTTGACCACACCGGGATATTAGCTATAGGAGATAAAGATGTCTTCAGAGACTCAGTGGAGGAGGGAGTAGTGAAGAAATCGAGAGTACATGTCACCCGATATGCCACGGCTAGTGGCAGTTTCCCTTTAGTCAATCGGCAAAGTTTCCGGCTAGAGACCAAAGGGTCACTGGTTCGAACCGCAGCAGGGGCAATGCGTTTTCTATTACTTCTTTCTTTTACAAAGTCATCGTTTTATAATCTGAACTTCTTGATAGATTGAACCACAAAGACACTAATAATATATACACAATTGTTATTTTATCCTTGTAATCTGACAAGTTTATGATTTAAGCATAACGCCGTAAATTTTACATAAGACTTTGTATTCGGATAAACATAAGTGACTCATCTAAAAATAGGTTTGGCTCACTCTCTTTTGATCTAAATGGCTCAAGCCCATCAAATCTATTTCACTACAGCAAGAATATACATAGTAAGTTCCAGTAATAAGCAGGTCATTAATATACTTTTGCTTTTTCAACTGAAAGAGAAACATGAAAAAGACAGCACGGCCAAGGATACAGAAAGAACCGGAACTACAGATAAGATGGAAAACCAAGACCGTAGTTTAACAGGTATTTAAGTATTAATTGTTGTAACTTTTCAACTATAATCGGATTTCAGTGTTTTTGCTTTTTGACAAGACTAATTCCCGGTGATATTCAGACAAGTGAATTGACTTGAACAAGTGATTATTAGAATATAATTTTTACAAAGCTACATGACACATGTTTATTTGCAGGTGGTTGGGAGAAGCCTGCAGGTGCATCCAAACAGGTATGTAAACGTGGTCAATTTTATTTTCAGCCCCAAATTCAATAGAATCTAGTGTTTTTTAAATTTGCTCAGAGAAAATAATAAAAATACAAAATGCAGGCGATACAGTTTTAACTTGAAGGATCGCTTTTATCAAAAGTGTAATTTTGTACAATAAACACAATAACTGCTTGATATGCATTTGTGGCGATACTAAGTTTCCAAGAGTTTCATCGTGACGTCATTGTGTGTTTAAACAGCCTATGACAAAGACTTCAGCAGTAACAAAGCCAACAGTTCAGATGTTCCCACTGAAAAACGAAAGGCTGTTCCATATCGCCATGTTCATAGCCCTGCTTCTTTTAATTCTGGTCGTCATTGTTCTCTTTCTTGTGGCTAAGGTAGTGTATCATCTGAGTCTTACTCATATTATGGAGCATGTATGCCAACAAAATGGTGTCATGTCATATTCATATAACAGCAACACTCTTTTCTGATTGAAATTAGTCACTTTCTTCATAACAGGTTATAGGGATAAATAAAACAAATGGCTGCTTCACATACTGGTAAAAAATGTAACAAAAATTACAGACATTAATTTGTCTTTTGAATAAAAAAAAAACATATTGAAACACAATTACATTATTATTAGTTACTGACCAATGTGCTTACCCAGATATTTATCACAGATGTGTCTGAGCAGAAATGTGGTACATGCATTTATAAATGTTTGTTTAAAAGATACATTTCAACCGTTCAGGTAACATCTATAAGACAAAGCAACATTTTCATTTTGGAGGTTATCATTGTTCCATTTCATCTTATTTGTGACAGATGAAAACAGATCGAGTCGGAGCCAATTTGGATTTAGTCGGCGACCTTGATCTGGAACGCCGACGTCATCAAAGAACGTCGTGGAGGTATGAATATAGAGATAATACATGGTCAGTTTTTTAAGAAATAAGCTGTATTTTGGCAAGGATTTGTCTTGCAACGTTAATTGAAAATCAGACGATCAAAACTTCAACAGTTTTGTTTTTCAATCTTTGTTTACCTGATGTTTACGTTACCATGAATTTTGCTTATATGCCAAATTAATTGCTCCGCGAAGTAATATAGTTCCAAACTTCAACCAATGTCGACCAATGTAACAACGATTTTAATTTTATTATATTTCGTAAAAAAATTGTTCATCACAATGTATAAAATCACTTATTTCAACATATATTCTTTGTAAATTTAAGTAATTTCAGAAAGTAACTCTGTCGAATTAATACACGTGCTAAAATACAGGTCTTTTTCGTCACAGGATAATCAATCATAGCTGAATGAAACGATAACTTTAGATAAATATCTGAAGACTTCGTGAACTATACTTAAAACTTTGACATGAAAACGAGACAATGTCGTCCTAGGTTACCTTAGTACTTAGTACGTCTGCTAAGATAACAGGTGCTTTACCTAAAATTATCTGTTAGATGAATCATATACCGGTCTAAACTTCAAATAATTGTTCGCTTTAATATCGCCAAGAAGATATTAACTGTAAATATCAAGACAAGATTTCAGAACAGCATGTTGCATGTATATTCAAGTATCATTTTGTATATTCAAATATAATATTTACATCTAATGATTAAAGGGATGTTGAAAAAACAACAACACCAGTTTAAATAAACGGTAACGGTTTTTGACAAACACATTCTGCTGACTTTTGAATAAAAATTCTACATTGAATTTAGTGTGATGTAAGCCAGCTTTCCCTTCCACAGAATTTTTTTAGACAAACTTCGTCTTCACTACAGGCAAAAAGCCACGGAAAATTCGAAGAGGGGTCTTTCTAACGGAGACTTGACTTCTCGTCCAAAGGTCAGTTCTAGTTGTTAACTTGCATAGTCGTAAATGTCGGATTTTCATTCCAAATGATCTGAATAATTACGTCACAGAGGTTTCATTTCTGAAAGACTTTATGTGTTCTTCTGATCAAAAGACGTCATTTTCTCGCTGGTAAAATTCCATATAGTGATAATTGTAAAATTTGAATGGTGATCTGGTTTATGGTCTGCTAAATCACAGCGTGGGAGTGACAATAAGCGTATTTTGGGCAAAAGAAAAGGCCGTGAATGTTTCCCTGTCTTGTGCGATTTTCTCTTTTCATCATTTGACATGATGAAACTCAAATATTGAACTACTTTTAGTTGGCATCCATGGGCATAGAATGCGAACGCAGCACGTCAGCGCTTTATTTTGAATTTGTCGTTACATTGTTGGAATTCATATGCCCATGAAGGACAGTTCGATACTTATGTTTATCATTTTCAATTTCGTCTTGTTGTCAGTCTGTATTATTCATTCTGTATTCCTACGGAGTTCATGAGCTCGTAACATGCCATTGACTTTTGTGAGGTTACTCCGAATGAAAACTATACAATGGTGAATATTCATTACTGTTAAGCAATATGGGAAATTATGGGTTGTGATAACCAAATGTTTACTGATAAATTTCAGACGAAAAAGAGAGAGAAAAAGAGAGAAATTCTGGATATTGTGCTATTGTTAAATATAGAGAATCTAAACTTATACTTAATATGTAGAGTAAATGATCAACGTTGTTATGTTTTTATTACGATCTTTCAATCTTTGTGTTCTAGATTGCTAAACCTCCTATGGCGGTTCCATCGAAGTCTTCTATAGGGAAAAAGGATTCCAAAACAAGTTTGACAAATAGTGTGGACAAACGGACCGATAGTTGTACCATGATATCTGGTTTAACGCATGGAAACACGACCGGAAGTGACGTAGAAATAGACAATGAGTTCCGAATGTTCAGAACAAATTTCAAGAGAGATTTTAAGTCTTTATTAAACGTTAATAAAGAAAAACAAGAAGAACATTAAAAATCAGTCAGATGTTAGAATTATTTCATATTGTCTTTGGAGTCTGGAGTCGGTCATATTATTGACTTCGATCTTGATAAAAAAAAGAAAGAAAAAAATATTTATTCGTTATACCAAATACAGTATGTGCAATTTAATTCCATGTCAAAACGTTCTGTCATAATGAATAAATAAAATGTTTAATTAAGTATTGTTCGTAGTTGTAGTGTACAATTGAGTCCACCAAAATGTCCCGAAAACCTCTGTCTACTATGAATTACATGAATTTCAAGTAGCTGCGTTTTATCTACCTCCATAGGAAATCCTCGGTAACTGATTTGTTATCACTCTTGTTGATATGAATATATGTTCCATCAAATATGATGCTGTTTTTGTGGAAGCTGTGCTGTGTGCAAGGGCTTCTTCACGTGGGATATGGGAAGTGCCAAGGAATTTGGGCACAGTTATTGTGTTCAAAATATCTACAACTTTGTGAAAAAAATCTAGAGAATGAGGTTTGGGACAGATTTGATAAGACAGTAATTTCATTTTATGATAAATTGGTTTTTAATTTTGCCCACATGTAGAGGAGTATATCTGACAAGCGTAAACTCTGACCAAAAGCTGAAAGAAGTGCGGATTCACACATGCGATACATTATCCTGGACTGTTCCAGTGACCAGCCAGTCCATGCATGACAGTCTGGATCAGGCAGGTTCCTAAACTACTATACACAGTTAATAAAAATATCATCACTGATTTCAGATCTTCATTTGTTCCAAATCAATACAAGAAAGCAAAAACATGAAGACAGCATAATCCTTTTATTTAACAAATCATGTTTAATTAATCGTGTATCACATGACATGGCTCGAGAGTCGATTTTTTATGAAGTCATTGTCTGGGCCCTTACTAAAAATACCATAGTTTTGCTTCTTGTATTTCCTGAGCAGATGAACGGATACAAATAACAAAAGCACTGTCCTTTTTTATTTCAAATTTTCTCTCCTCCTTAAAGGCAAGATGTCCACAGAGACAGCGAAGTGATCCGACAATGGAGTAGGCCTACCACCGAGAATGATGTTGCCTTCTAAAATTCGCTGAAAGATGATAAATTATCATTAACAGAAAACAATGAAAATACCATTCCGACAGAAAGGATTCTTCAGCTCAAATTACGATGTTCTATTTCGCTATTCCTGTAGTTTGTTGATATTGATAATCTTTCCTTATAAATCGTTTGGTCTAATACACAGCATCAGTATGAAATAAGATATTTAAATTCAGACCTAAATCTATAAAATAACCATGAAAATTGCCTTAACGAAAATCGAAATTTATTTTTAAGTTCGAAATGTCAGAATTTCAGATTGTTTTTGTTATCAAAGTGAAGTAGAAATTAAAAAAAAATGTATTGCATGAAGTCAACACAAAAACGTAGACACAAGAGGACACAGAGAACGTCACAAAGAAATGAAATTAAACCGAAGACTAGAAATCAAATTGAAATAGGTAAGCATTCTCATTTATCTATATTAGGAATGCAGATAAAATGACAGAAAAACACTAACCCAAGAGGTAGACATAATAATAATAATGATAATCAAATTCATTGTCTTAATTCTAGATGAATTTACAAGTATACAACTTTATAGTTTTTGATATCGAATGGTCAAAAAAAAAGAACAGAAAGTGATGTGTGTAAGGGAAGAGAAAGAAACCTAATAAGTCGATTAAAGTTTGTGAAATAATATATCTATGTAATAAAATATATTCTCTTTTTTAATATATGAATGTTTTATTTGTATTAATTTTTTTCTCTTTTTTTTTATACTTGGAAAAAGCGCATGGACGAGCAATGAGTTCAAGTAAAAAAGCAAATAGTGTTTTCTTATCAATGACTCGAAATTCTGAAATAATAATTTTGAGTTAGTAGAAATTTCAAGTTACGGAAACGAACAAAATGAAATCTTTCCACATGACTTGAATTCCTTTTCGTACAGATCCACTGCAGGTAAAACATTTAATGTTTTAAAGTTTAGAAAGAGAAAAAAGCTTTTACATATTTTTGCATTTTAATTCCAAATTATTATTCGATAAAATGTATTCCGGCCAACAGCTTTTCCCAGAGAAGGGTCAGGTTAACTGTCATTATTTTATTACCTCTGCTGCAAGATCGATCCAGTCACGGCGTCTGCAAGTGTTTACCACGTGACTATCAGACTTGATGAGCACGTGATCTAGCACGAAGTTTTGCATCGTAAATTTATTTGCCAAGTAGTTACCCTTACAAAATGTGCATCGGCCATCTATGTCGAAGTAAGGGGAGCTAAATCCTTCCTCAATGTAGTGGTCAAAGGAATCTCGTAATATGGAACAAAGACAAACAAGTATCAAATAACAAATTATGTTTCGGTAGAAGGAACTCAATAATTGATACCGGTAATATAGTTTTATACTGTGCCAGATTAAATCTACATAGTATGTGCATATCGCCAAAGACAGAATATATGACAAATCATCCTGTTGAAAACAAATATACATACTATTTCTTAAATTTGTAAAGAGCGACAAATTGGTGATTCACACACATCCAGAATCAAAGATTTTCACGTGCTATTATTAGTACGTTGGCAGAATTACGTTTTAGTAGTCAAGATTAATCAAAGTCATTGTGTTTAGTCTGCCATCGTCCGCCTTGCATCGAGCACATTTTTTCCCTTTAAAACACTACTCATCAACGCAATTTTTCCTTTAAAACGTTACTTCTCCACACAAAGATGGATTTCAACCAAATTTGGTCTGAAACAACCCTAGGGAGTGAGCAATCATTTCTTAAATTCAGAGCATTGATTTCACCTTGAGGATTTGTCTAGTGTGGTCAAGGAGAAGAAGGCTATATGTCCTATGAAGTGGGGCTGTAATAATAAGGATCTATGATGCAGTTTACGTCAATACTTCTCTCTAATGTATCAGATTCTGAATTGAATTAAAAGTTGTTATATTTACTTTCGATGATATCGTGGTGCAAAATGATCAGATGTAAGAAAATTACATAATCTATTGAATTATTGAGTAACTGCATCTTGCCTTCAGAAGCCGTCTCTTGTCACAAAATATAGACCCTTAGCATCAATGATGACTCCTAGAAAGACGAAACAGCTATATGAAGCAGTTTATTTTGGTTTACTGTATCTTATTCTAAATTTGTATTTGTAGTCCGGACAAGTCTGAACCTGAAAACCAGGAGACGAAAAGGTGTGACCCAAAAGTTTATTGACTCAGCATCAAAAGAGAGAGAAAACAATTTAATTACAATATTTACAAAATGAATACTATACTTGTAATTAAAGCTAATTAAAAAATAACATCTGTGTTACTACTTATCATTGCTTGTTACATATATCTTAAAGTGCACAATATTTAAAACCACTGAGTATTGAACATATCAATTCCAAAATATACGCAATATCATTTGACTCTTGACTCGTTATACAACCTAGTGGATTTAAGACTTATACATATCAAATTATATTTAGTAAATATGAATTTGATCCGAAATGATGGACAATTGATAAAATTTACCAAATTGTGACAAAAAGTGACAAAGTGTGACAACATGTGACAAAGTGTGACAACATGTGATAAACTATAACTCACATCAGCTGACCTGTGACAAATGTAACAATACACCTTAGATTCAAACTTAGTGCAAGTCCATCTGATTTCTGAACAAGTGACTTACAGATGACTAGACATACACATGACTAAGTGTGACTAACGCTGATTACACACCATGTGACTTCACATTCGAATTAACATATTAAAACTATTCCAATCGACATACTCCAATTATCATATATAATTAAAATAATTGCTGTTGATTATATACTACTGGAATAATTAATAGAGTTTCCAATACTATCCAATTTCGAAGGTGTTCGTATTTCCATGAATTTATCAACAATATATCATTCACAGTTGGTGAACTATAATTACACTCTAGTACTATCATACTTAACTGATCTGGTAAAATTCACTTGGTAATTGAAATCATTACAATGCCGTCAGCAAAATATTTCATAGCTACATTCCATTCTCAAACTCCTCCAATAAAGTCATAATATTTACAATGTACAAAACCCGCACTGTATACCTCAATTACTGTGCCAGGGAAGACTACTCCAAATGCACTGCCGTACCAGAATTATCACCAATGGAATGTTACCAAAAGTCGGTAAAACACTATTTGCCAATTAAATGCCCAAAGATTACCTCGAATATAACAATAATAGCGAGCGCAGATAGCGCTTTATGGTAGTGTTTGTGTGTGATAACTCAACCCCAACAACCTGCCCATACGATCAACTTTAAACGGAAGTGTGGCTGGAACTTCATTACCACGCAACGAAAACTGCCGAGCCGTTGAATGGATTAAAATGACTTTGACAGACAAAATATCCTTTTAAGCTTCCGTGTGGAAGTGAAATCATACTAAAAGTCTAAAATAATTCAAATTAATCTAACAAACACATACTTTAATGGTTTGAAAAATATATAACAAACATCTCGTTGAAAAATTACAATTTTGACCATTCAAGACGAGAGCACGTTTGTTCTCCGATGTACCTGAATTCCGGGCTAACCTTCGGGAACTGTCGTCACTTTCCGTTAGATATCGTCTCTTACGCGGAAGCAGTCGAAAGCTCCCGATTTGGCGAAAACCCTGTCCCGTCTCTTAACTATACTAATTCTGCAAGATGTGGATGTTTTTCGATAACTGTTTGAAATTAATTATGATAAAGTATTTGAAAGTTTTCCAGCAAACACTTATAAGGCACAATGATAGGATGAATATTACTGGTCTCTTTTTTTTGGGGGGGGGGGGGGGGGAGCAGAAAAATGCAGTTCATGTAATATATTGTGACTTTAATTAGAATTTCATTTAAACATTTATATTTATATTGATTTTCTGAATTACAATGTATAACAGAATAGTCTCAACAGTGATTATAACTTTA